AAATATTATTGTCATTGGCCTAATTTGAACAAATTTAAAACTTTATTATCTAGTACTCAGAGTAGCATTTTAAACAAAACCTCAAGATATATATATTTAGCTAATGTTAAAAGAAATATGTAATGACCATATTGCATTTTTTCATCATTTTTTTAAAATGAGTTTGTAATTATTGTTATAGCTTGTTAACAACTTCCTGCATTGTGTTGATATTGTAAAATAATACAAAAGAATTAAATAAGACTAATGTCATTTATTGACTAATCAATTATTAAATGTATGTATTATCTACAACTGTAACTTTATAATAACATACTTTTCTCAATTGTACATTATATCCGCCATACAGTTGTGTATTGGCGATGAACATTGTATATGTTTATGCCAAATAAATATTGAATTGAATTGAATTGTTTAGCACTGATATAAATAATTTAGCAAAAATCTTCCCGCCCAAACAGTACGACATGCATATAATAATTCAATGCATGCTGAAGTGTGGCTAAAATATCTCTTTTTACGTGATAAAAATTGATTATCGATCGTCGACTGCCTAAATTCGTTCTTGTCCAAGAGTCAACAACCTTACTTTAAATGTTCAAATAATTCGAAGATTTACGGAAATAGTCGAGCAATTTTCATTGATTAAAATGATATTCATCCGCGTAATTTGTAATTGTGCATTTATTGACAATTCTATAAGCCAAAGCCACTATGCGTTATAATTCGCTGGATACTTGTAACAAAATAAAAATATTTCTTTTTTTTTACATCGCTAGTTTATGCTGTTTTGAGAACTACTTTTTGTTGTTAGGATGTTCCTGAGATTGAATGTCAGCAATGATATAACAGAATGCTACACTCAAAAAGGATTGAAACGAAAGAAAAACATATACGTAGGTAAGGCATGATAAAAAGACTTAAAAGGGTTTGGCGAGAGTCCGTTCAATTTTAAACATTTCAATAAAATGATTTTCTTTTATATTGTTATCATCAATATTTGAAATACTTTTGTAAATGAGAACGTTGTACCATTGTAGATCAATCCACTTTAAAAGTATGCATTCCCTTTTTCAGTGCAAGAATATTATTATAGTCAAAGATGACAAAACTCTTGGTTCGCCAGAAAAATGTTTAATAAGTCTATTGACCCCCCACCCACACACACACGCCTCACCATACACACCTACCTAAAACAGCCAGATAGCTGAATGTGATTAAGAAAAATAACAAGGTAAAAAGGCCTTTAAGGCTTTTAGAAAGTTCGTCAATGTTGACGCCATTGCCATATGACGGAATTTTATTGAGATTATATAGTTCATGCAGAATTCAGATAAATGTCTCGGAGTGACATTTACCGTTCATATATAATGCGTCGATGTAAAATGATATATAGCTCTTTAAGGAAGAAATCAAACATATTTGCAGAGATTTCGTCATTGTCCACTTATCACCATACGTCATTACAGCCTTGCGATTGCGTAGAGAAAAAAAATCGATATCTGAATTTGTATCTTCTTTACTTAGAATTCTGAGATGTTACTATTATAAACCTCTTATTTATATACATTTACAGTTACTGGAGGATATTTAATAAGAATCAGATTATCAAAATTTAGTATAAACTGTCAACGAGCGCATCTTTTCCTACTGAAGACTTATTATAATTAATGTCTTTAACTTCATAGGGCCTTATATTAATTTGCTCAGCTGATCGGGTATGCTAGAAAGTATGGTGTCTGATTTGGTACACTTTGCGCGTTGTGTTGTCGATAGCGACAACACAAACCTACATCGTATCTGACATTGCGACAATACGCCGCGCGACAACGCGCCCTTTGGTGCCCTACGTTAGCGACAGGACGACTAGACGACAGTGAAACAACGCGCCGTTTGGCGCTTTGTCGTGCTGTCGCTAGCGACATTACAAAAGTGGTCCAAATCAGCCATCATAGGAAAGTACACTGTATAACCTTTTTCATTATACCAAAATAAGTCTAGTTTATTAGAATATCCAAGTGACAAATAATGCAAGTTTTAAAGTGGTTTGTAAATGTTTGTTGTAGTGGTGTGTGTGTAGAGACAAAAGGGTGTGCGTGTGTTTTGGGTTGTTTTCTGTGATTTTGTGCTTTGTTTTAATCACATTATTGGTTTGGTCAGTTACTGGGGTTTTATTGAGTTGTACGGTCTATTTAAAGGTCTGTAAGTTCTTTTGATGGTCAAATGTCTACGTTCTTGAAATGGTTAGCATGGTTTAAGTGTTGTTTTTTTAAATGTTTTCTTACGCTTTAATTGGCTTGTAGGATTTTTAATGGTTTACACAGTTTTAACTGTTTTGAACAGTTTTAATTATTTTGTACGTATTTTAATGGTTTGTATGATAGTATGCACGGGATTTCAATAACTTCTTCTTGTAAGTGTGCGCGCGCGTGCGTGCGTTGGTTGTGCTCACTTTTCAGTGAGAGCGACTGTAACTTTAAGTTTGTTTTAAGGGTGTTTTATTTTCTTTCATTTAATTGTGTAGAAATTGTGTAGAAATAACAATTTGATTTAAAAAAATGATATTATATCGTCTAGGAAAATACATTCCTTTCGATTTAGTAAAATCAGTGTGTATATTCAAACTTTCATTCCAGAGTAGATATGTACATTTTCCCCTAAGCATGGCTTTAATTGCAGATATGGTCAAAAGGTATAACAATGTGACAGTTTCTATTTACTTCGGATCAGTAAAAAAACGATACTGCACAAGTGCCTAGAGTTGCGGTTAGACTGTACTAAAATCCCAGATGGACTTTAACCTCCTGCATTCTTATTCCTTCAACTCATCAGTTGTTTGTAGCTATATATTTACTACATCTTTTTCTGAATCTCAGGTGTTAAAAAATTAAAGCAGTTTGAGCGCGTTTGGTTCCATTTAATGTTCCATTTTAATAAAAAAAATTACGGTCCCATTTTATATAACATTTCCAATACTTTACACAGTTACCTGTTAAACCAGGTAAATCAAAAATCGCGCTGATTCAGCGCGTTGATATTCCAAACAAAGATGGCCTTATAAAACGCAGTTACACCGCTATTTTACGTTCGGTACAAAGCAGCGATTGTGACAAGTTTACATTTTTTGTGACAATAAGGGGAGCAGCGGCGCGTGACATTCTTGTCTTGTTTTTTTTCTTACCTCATACGACGTTGACCTGTCAACCGCGGTTAAAACAGATACATCGCATGTTAGTAAATTCTAAATATAGATTTATATCGCCTGAACAAAGCGGTAGTGAAATTGCGCAGTTGGCTAAAATGTTGTTACTATTTACCGGGCGGATATAAACAAATGTTTTCGGTGAAGGTAGTGGCAACGTATCAAATACACTCGTAAGGTAAAGGGGAATTTCGTACAGGAAGTTGCAAAATCAGCTTTATATTTACGAAAGGTCGATTTAGTTGTTTTTGCGAAATGCGCAGTATTTTAAACTACGGTTACCAAGCCTTCTTTCTCTTTGCTGAGAAATCATCAGCAGAGATTGACTAATACAGGCCGAATGTGTGTTGTAAAGTTTAGAAATATTGTTAGGTGTGTCAAATTTGAACTCTTTGTCAATGCGATGTCCCTTTACACTTAACATGTTCAATAGCGTTAACGCCCAGTTATTAAACGAACTTTTAATGCAGTCTATTTTTGCATCAGGACGTGACGCATTGAAACGGGCGTTCTTTTATTTGTATGTATAGCCGTTAAAATTCGTATTAAAGAAAACAGAAAGGTATGGTTTCAGAGAAACTTAGCCAGGTTCGAGATCTTATTGGACCATAGTTAAAAAATTTATTTAGGATTTTTTTCCGCATTTTCATAGGTTTATTTTTACAAACCAATACATTTATATTAAAGTACCTACTTAGTATGTAAAAATGTTTATAACCAAATTCACCAATAATTCATTTACAGTTGAGATATCCGAGTTTAAAACCACCTCCATATAGCAACCACAATTTTTGAGGACGTCTTGTCATCTAACCTTTAATTACAGATTTATATCAATTAAATGTCCTGTTTTACGTTAGATTTAGTGCTGGGATTTAAAACAAAACATACAAGGGCCATCACTGAGCAGGGGTCACTCTTAACTTTTTTCAAACACATCGGAAGAATATTGTTGTGAAGGGGTTTCAAAGAAACATGGCAAAATTCAATAACATGACCTTTCGTGGTAAGAGAAACTTTAAGGTCAAGGACAGACTTAAATATTTAACATGTTGGTTTTGAATAAGTGTTAAGAATAAATCAAATCTGCAAATAAATAAGAAAGTGATCACAATTTAAGTTAAATTCTTAATGACCTTCTGAGTCAATGTAAAGTTTTAGTTGAAGTCTTCTTGAAGGTCTTGAAGACCATCTATAAATTAACAATGGTTATAGGCAATTACATTAAAAATCAAAAGAGCAAAATTAAACATTTGACCTTTGGAGGTCAAGGTCATTATAAGTATTGTTCCAGGTCATTTATGAGTCAATGTCTTTAATGGTCAAGGTCAGTCTGTTCTATTTAAGGGATTGTCCACAGCATTGTGTCCAAGAATGAAGTTTTCAGACAGCAATGTCAAGGACACACCAGGTCTGTATTTTAATAAAATGTTACGTTTTAGCCAAGGGTTTTGTAACTTCCTTAGAAAGTGGGGCTTGGAATGGGGAGAGAAATACATTTATTACCGCAATCTAGTTCCTTTTAACACTTATCACGCTAAATATCTTATATGAACTGGCCCATCTTTCAATCTGGACAAAACCATCGTTTTTATGGTATATTTCAAAATAAGAATATTATACTACATGCAGCTCATGATCAGATGACACGGATTTTGCTGGCTAATTTTGGTCTGCATGGGTTGCGTAGGTAGATTCAATTGCATACAGAAGACTTCGTGTTATTTTGTGTACATTTTCGGCCAGACAGATAACCCACCTTCAATGCTGTCATAACAAAGTCCATAAGATAACAAAATTATATTGCATTCACATATTTTATTTCATTTTCATCAATGTATTGTTCGATACAATATCAAACTGGTCACAACATCATCTCAAAAATACAGGAACATGAATAACTTTTACAATGATTAACACAAACATATGAACAGACAAAAACAGATAAATCTTTATAGCTCATAAAATAAAAAATAATAATAAAAAAAAATTCAAAACAATGATAAATTTTTGACAAGAGATAAATTAAGCTTCACCCAAGGTAATGGCAACAAGCCTTTAAAATGTTTTGAAGATATTTAAACAAATTTCCCTAACAAAAATCTGTATACACACCGTTTTAACAACAATATTAAAAGCACTTCTTTCAATCAAGACAATATTCAAAGAATTCAGAAAATAGAAAACCATAAAGGATATTAATTAAATAAACAGCTTTATTAATCATTATCATACATATTTTCCTTAATAAGACTGTAAGATTTGTAACTTAAGCAATTTTAACAAGCACTTTTTCATATAAAATCATTTCTCGAAAATAGAAACTTCTTACGTGTATCTAACTTCAAAGTAAACTTCTCTATAATTTGATATCTAACTAGATATGATGAATAATTTATCCGCTTTTGGCGACTCAGCTGTTTAAAGATAGAATCTTTATCTCTTTAAAAAGAAAATTAATCTTAAATAACTCTGTCTATAATTAGGAAATTATTTCACAGAACAGTATTTTTAACCTTCCTATTCAATTGTGAAACTCATTGCTTAGAAAAAGTTTATTTTTCTTGTCTATTTTTCGCACTTACATCATAGGTTAAATATATGTGTATTCTGAAATTCTTGAAAAAATCTAATGAAGGGAATTCATTCTGCCAAAGTGTGATGAATCAGAAAACAATACTTTTTAATAAATGATTGGGAGAAAAAAAATCTGTTTTAAGCATAAAGTCAAACATGTTTTAATTAAACGCAAAAAATGAATCAAACTACATGTTCTTTACGCAAAGAATGAGCCTTTTGATTTAGCACCCACATTTTATGTATAAATAAAAACCTTACACATAGTTAACAAGGTTGCAAAAAGCACAACCCTGTTCGACGACGCATCAAAAATATATCTCCAACGATCGATGAATAAATATGCACGATGGATGATGACTCAATTGCAGTGTGTTAATGATACATACAAGTTATAAATGACATTTCACAGCGTAATTTGTAAAAAAAAATTGTTTTTTGGTATCTTAACAATCTTTCCAGGAAAAACAGTGAAAAAATTAAAAATCTAATTTAGCTTTAAGGAAGATGGAAAAGAAAAAAAAAAGCTTGAAATTATCCTAAATTTGTCACAAATTTAAGGGGATTTCCATCTTGTGATTGTGACATAACATATCCCTTGAGGCTATTAATTAAACGATCCACACAAAAATAAAATTAAATGATCCACACAAAAATAAAATATGTACGAAAAAAGTTTTTTTTTTAGTGATTTGCAAACTTAAAGATCATTTGTATATTTCAAACATGAATTTGTATGTGTTGAATTCTTTATACCATGGATAATCCTAAGAAAATTAAAAGTATGTCAGTGATAAAAGAACAGTCTATTGTTCTTTTGGAAAGAAAAAACAACAACAAATAAAAAAAAAACAAAGATAAATGCGCTATTTAAAGAACGGCATGAGTGTAATATTTACATATCACATACAGATGGAATGTCAAAAATGTACACTGAATTTAACTATATTAATCACAAAATAAAACAATTGTACATCAACATACTGGAAATTAGACCTTGGTTGAAATGTTGCTGATTTCCTATTAAACTTTAATAAGCCTCATTCTTAAAAAAAAAGAGAATTCTTTAATACAAAACACAAAACTTTATTAAGTCCTAAACAACATGTACTTTCAGCAAATTTTGATTGTCATTTAAATTGTATGAATGTAACTTTATGACTCGATGCCAAATTCTACTCGGACTATAGTAAGTCAACAAACATGGCTGCTGAAACTGTCTTTTTTAATTAAAAACGTAAAATTTAAGCCACAAAAACAGCAAAATTCTCACCAAGGTCTTCTGCAAATCTTAGGAATGAGAACTGAAAAGAACAATGTCAAACATGAAAAAATAGCACTTATTTAACACCAGTACAAAGTACTGCGTTTCGTAAATAGTAATAACAATTTCCTTGAATATCACGTATTATTAAACATTCTTCATAACCAAACCCCTGATCTTAAACAATATACTTGATGCATACATGTACATTCTTTTATTGATATATCATGTATACACTTATTATGAAGTCATAGCATTCTTTGGGGGCATTTTTACTTCATAGCCTATGACAATGATTGAATAACAATTAATTCATATAATTCATAGAAATAATTCACTGTGACAATCATTAGTTCACAAGAAGCAAGCAAAATGGACCTAACAAATTTTTTTTAAAGTGCACCCGTAAACAAAAACAACAAACTATTGAACAACTGATTTACAAAAGTGTGTGGAACTTGATAATCAAATTTATGTACAATTCCTTCAAACTTTATGTTTCAGGTCTCCAAATTCTTAAAAATCTTTCCATAAAAATCTTAATACTTAAATTGTTTCACATCTACCTAGGTCAAGGTCATCACAATACCAAATCATCAAAATTCAAAATAGCACTAAAAACAACAACTGTCACTTGTCTCAAAACACCGATGTGAAAATATAGTGCTGATGTCAAATATACTGAAAATAAAACATTAGGATATTTAAAGCATGTGAAAACATTTAGTCAGTGCTTGTGTACTATATAGATATCAACCAAAACAATCAACAATATCCAAAGGGAAAAGAGCATGCATTTACAAACATTTAGTTTAAAAAAAAAAAAAAAAAAAACAGGAAAATTCCATCTTTGGAGTTTCTATTAGTTATCATATGATCTTATTCTTTGTTAAACAAAGCTGGTGTAGTTTGACCTATCCTGTTGTTGTAATATTAATGCTGGTACAAAATGATCTATTCTGTTGTTGTTATAATGAAGCAGGTATAAATTAACCTATCCTGTTGTTCTTACCAAATGAAGCTTCATGTACTGATGTAGTATAGTTTGATATATCCTGTTAAAGCAGGTATAAATTGACCTATCCTGTTGTTCTTACATGTACTGATGTAGTATAGTTTGACATATCCTGTTAAAGCAGGTATAAATTGACCTATCCTGTCGTTCTTACCAAATGAAGCTAGTGCAGTTTGACCTATGACATATCCTGTTGTTCTTACTAAATGAAACTGGTGTAATTTGACCTATTTTGTTGTTCTTAATAAATAAAGCTAGTGTAGTATGTTACCTAAACATTTCTTGTTCTCATTTTAAGTATCATTGGTGTTATTAAACCTATCAACCTGATTTTTTTTTAAAAATGACTGAATTTTGACAATCTTTCAGTTGTTTTGTTAAATGTATGAAACAGGTAAAAGTCAACAATTTATCCTTGAAATAAATACTATACTAAAGATATTTATAACTCCAAGGACTGACCATCAACCTGTTACATAAATAAATGTGTTTACGTTTATAAATCAGACTTAAACAAGATATTCACCAATGTTCCCTTAAGCTGTTTCGGTTAAGATTTTTTTCCCCTTAAAACTAGTTGTATATAGCAATAATACCACACAATCTGTCAAGTCGTAATTTATGACTGATCGTTTAGCTATCTTAATCATGTAAAAAAAATCTATAGTGAATTTTAAACGTGAAATTTGCATCGTAGTTGGTAAACAAACGGCATGTAGGTAAGACTGAAAGATAAAATCATGTGCATTAATATTAAAATAATTGTTTGTTGTTTTATCTGCAATTATATAGTCAACTGCCCCGACAACGTCCCGATTCAATCTTGTCTTTGCAATAATCACAACCGAATGCTTTTTAATAACCTAGATCACTGTTTCGTTGTCAACATAAAATGTGTTGATGTACTATGGCGATGATGAAACTTTAATGGGATGCTACAGAAATGCACAAGTTTTGAGGTATAAAGTATGTTCGTCTATGAATTCATCAATGAGCATTGTGTGACGATTTTAAATGATTTTAGGCGATAAGATGATTTTATGAAGTATATGTATTTTAAAATGCAATAACTTCCATGTCAAGTTTATATGATATATATAGCACATTCTTGCAGATTTTTTTTCACACAAGTTTGTAACACATGTGTCTTAGAATTAGAGATGTAGCACATTTGTTCAGTTCCGAGCATACTTTTATACTGAGTATACATGACACCAGTGCCCAGTTTTTTCTTTCTCCTGATGTAACACGTCAAGTTTTTGTACACTTTTTATCAGAATGCGCAAAAACTGGGTCTATGTCATGCTTTGTTTCAAAGTTTGATTATCAAATGAACACTTCGTTGTTTTGTTGCCAATATGGCGAACATCGCATGCGTCACCAATGGCAACTTGTCTTGGGGGGAAATGGGTATAAACCATACCCATATGGTAGAATGAGTCCTTTGAACGTAGGATACTAAGAATGATAAATCTATGGATGGAATATGATGAAGTTTGTAGTAGTCCCTCTTCAAAACGCAAGAAATGGCTACAGCCGCGGCTCCGTTTTAACAATAACAGAATCATGATGCATAGATTCTGAATATTTTGGGTAGCCGTGGTGGCTGTATGATTGCTGTGAGACCTGTGGCAATATTGTCTGTGTTGGGGGTGAGTCATGACGTATAGAGTTACCGAGATACAACGGTTGAGCTGTAACAACGTGTATTTTGTTTGCTTCTGCAAATCTCTGAAGAGCATCATATCTGTTTTTCAAAGCACTTAGTTCCATTCTTACAATGTCATTTTCCCTTTGTAGACGTTCAACTTCACTTCTGAGACCATCTTTTTCCACTTCCAACACCTCTTTTTGCGATATTCTCTTTTCCCTACAATTGGCCGCGTACCCACGATTTTTAAGAGTTCTCCGACGCTGTTTCAACTTGATCACTTCATCGCGCGTCAGACCTTTGAGCATGCGATTTAGCTCTTTAACAGACAATGCAATCAGCTCTTCATCGGAGACAGACTTGTGGCTTGGGGGTTGCATGTGAATACCCTCCGACTTTATCTGCGACAGGAAAATCTGAAAATATATAAACATGTACATTTTATAATTTATTATTTTATTATGTGAAGTAATAACCAAATCCTTTAATATTTGCTCATTTCCTTTTTTCACTGTCACCTTCCTGCATGGTGTAGTGTATTGAAAAGTCATCAAAGTAACAACAGTCTTAAATGATTAAAGAAAAGAACAATGTACCCACTGTAAGAGGTTAAAAGTAAGTAGATATTAAACTCTTTTCCTCGTCAGCTATTCGATTATATAATACAAGTGATGACTGAGTTATAGCGTACAAACAGTTTCCTCAATGCATGAACTGAAAACAATAAGGAAAATCTTGGAAAATTTTTGAATGCTCTATAGTTCACAAGAAAGATCTAAAGAAAATGCAAGAATTCAGTTTTTGAACAGCCAATGGCAGGTTGATCATGACTTTTTAAGTTCTATTTTACTTTTTAACATGTGACTTATCTATGAATAATTAATTAACATTAGTTTATTTAGTGCATCCCCTTCTCCAGGCATTACTGAATTTACCCACAAGAATTTTTATTAAAATATATTCTACATTCTATTACTGTACACACGTAAAATATACATAAATAATCTATTGCGTCTTAAAATTTCAAATTACAATAACATTTTAAACATACTTGACCTAGTTTACCTATACCAACAAGATAGCTCAATAGTGTATCAAATACATGCCTTTACAAGGTAAAATTTGCTGACCTAAGCTAAAACTGTGTCTCAATAAGAATGGTTTACTGTGGATAAAACTTATTCAGATGTACGTTGACTGATATTGTACAAAGATAACCTGATAGTATCTTAATAATAATATTAACCCAACTACATGTAAATTGCCTTTGAGACATTTGAAAATTATTAAAACAATTAGTTAAACGTTTCATTTGTGATTGAAACACAAAAGTTTGATGTTACTGGTTTAAATAAATATCTTTAAATCTCTTTGTCAATTGAACTCAATTTGTACTAAATAGACTACTTACATAATCAAGTCAGTTAATTGGAGGATCATTAATATTAATAAACGTTCATGTATATATTAAATATTACACTGAATAAAAACAACTCGACTGAAGTGTGAAAATCAATACTGAAAGTTCTAATTTGGTACATGCAGCATCGATCCGTATTGAAAAGGGCGCAAATGAAAAGGGCGCATAATTATACATGATTAATTTGCACAACTGAACGCCCGCCACCAGCATGAAACAATGTGCATGCATGTCCTTACATAAAAATCTTAACGTTCAATAAACAGATTGGCTGCAACAGGTTCAAACATTGTCTATAGACTTCCCAATAATCCCAGAGCCCTTTTATTGACAATTCAATGAATAACCTTGCTTCAATGCTGATGAGTCATCATCCCCTGTGAAAACTGCACCAATCAATAATGTTAAAGGAAAAAACATTTCATTGTTGCTTTTTTTTACTGCAAAATAACTGCTTTAATTAAAACAGATTATTCTGGCCAATGGTATGTTTTCCTACTAATTATGAAAATTGTGACCTTAACTGAAACATTTCCTGGTGCATGCGAGTTTTTGTGTGTCCTTCATAACGATATTCCTTTAAAATGTTCAATATTCATTTTTGTATTAATTAATGGACTTTCTTAGATGAAACTTGACAAATAAATTTTTTAATTATAGCCGAATAGGTCGGAGGCGATTATTATTTTAAATAAAATATTCATAAGAATTTTCCAACATTGTGAGTTTGTGACACACCTATCTAAACTAGTCGTATTCTGTTGAATAATAAGCCTTTCTTTACTAGAGAATTTTTATCATTCTGCAAAAAGTGAAATCGTTTCGTAAGCAGTATTGAAAATAGATTTTGTGCTACGATTTCCAGTGAATCATTTTTATCCTACATGTAAATTACAATAAACGCAAAACATATATTTTACACGATGATATTCATCAAATTATATTACAATAGCAAGCGATAATTTACTGTTTTTTTGTTTGTTTTTTTTTTTAATGATGTGCAAAATTTATTCCTTTTTGATCCTTTTTTATTGTTATTCAAACCTTTTTTCCTCTGTCAGCCATAATGACAAAATCTAGTATGGCAATTTAATAATAAACAATTTGAAACATATTGGCATGATTGATTGAAAAGAAACATATGGCCATCTCATCAGCTGATAAACTAGGCAAAAAAACGATAAAAATATGTCATAGCGCCACTGACACGTTAGAGCTGATGTGTCCTCACCGTGTACTACTAGCAACCACCTGTTACACTGCAATAATCTTGGAAATCTGTTCACATCAGCAACACGCGGCAGGCTGACTCATCAATTGCCAGATCAATAACTCTGCCAATACAATGTCTCGGGACACCAGTCGACTTAACCGATGACTCATTCGAGCAACATCATCAAAATTGCCTGTATTAGGAAGACTGGTAGAAGAAAGAAAAAACCCAATGCCGAAACAACTGTCTGCTACATGTTGCTAGTCATAGATTACTCATTTCAGCTCAGAGACATGCAACAAATTGTCTTGTAGGAGAAATAGGGGACACAAATTAAACCACTTGTGGAATCCACTGACAAGAGTGGAACACTGATCAATAAAACTGCTGAGTCATCAGGAGCTTGAATGTGAAATCATCTCTCAACAGAATGTCTGACTTCTACATTGCTATTTAATGACAATATACCCTGCATTATTCAGCCTTAGCATTGGTATGGATTTTTGAAGAAAAAAAAAATCACAAACTTAATTTAAGGTCTTTACTTAAAATGTTAAAATTGCTGGTTAAGGATATATTTATGTATATATTGTTTTGTACTCATTATAGTGGTATTGTGGTCACATTGTATATATGTGTTTTTTTGGGGGGAAAAAAGCATTTCTACATTGTAGTGATTCTTTTTGTAAGTTTTCGGGGGTTCTTTTTTTGTTTTTTTGTCATACACTATACAGGGCATTTTTTCCTTCTATAGCAGGGGCCGTTATAGGGCTGCTTCCCCAAAGAAAAATTCTTTCAAATCATGCAGTTTTCCCCAAAAATTGAATTTACATCAAGTTTTTTCTTTTCCTTTTGCTATTATTCCATGTAATTTTTCCAAAAATTAAGGACAGGGCTGCTTCCTCAACCTGTGAAAAAAGCCCTGCTATACTTATAGTGTAGAAAGTTAAATATACAGACACTTTACCATTAATTGTCTTGAACTTAGTTGGTCAAAAGGTATACAAAAATTATTACAGAAAAGGATGAAACCATCAAACATGATGAAAATTTAATGCGATAATTTTTCAGACAACTTGACACCTTACTATCTTTTTTCTCTTCAATGTAAAACGTTAGTTCTATATTTTCTTAATCAATGACATAATGATTCCTGTTTCAAACTGGGTGTGTCTCCCATGATGACATTCTTTACCATCAAAACAACTAAAATGTCATTTGAATCTAAATACGCTCTCTTGGTTTCTAATTTAGATCATTTCTGCGACCACAATAGACCGCAATTTACTCTATAATAATCTCAGTTTCACAAGAGACAGCTTATGAATGGGTGAATGACGTCAGCACAGCTTTTCTCAAGCCATTTCTACTATGATGTCAAATATGTTTTCCTGGAAAATCGACACTATTAAAGCATTTACAATCTAGGAAGAGCGTCATTTGATGAGATTCCGTATTTAGCTCTGAACTGCAGAAAATAGCTTGTGGTTTCCATATACAGCATTAATAATGTCAATTTTAGAAACTCTCTCAAAGAAATAGTCAATATAGTTGTCTGAAATAGCATAACATAGACGGATAAAACTACAAGGAAAAAAAGACATAAGAGTAATCTTTGTATTCTCGGCAATAAGATTAGTATTAATTTAGAGCTATTAATATATTTCTGTGCGTAGGGAAAAAACGGATTGGTAAAATAAATTTATAGAGAAAAGGAGAACTAAATACAGCAGCATTTAAGATGAAGTGCAAATGAACTCTAAATTGGTAACAAATTAAACAGCTGATCGCGTCAATGGAATAGTAAATTTTAACAGAAACGTTACAGTACTATATCTAATCAATAAAATAATGTATTTTAAGGCTGATATTAAAGTTTTTAGCACGGATATAAAAAATATGGCATTTTTTACTGGGCTAAATAACCAGAGCTAAATATACAAAAACACCTTAAAACCGAAATCTTTGGCTGAATCTTTTTTTTCAAATTCACACCCATAATGATATGACTGTTCTTTTTAAATTTAGAAATTCAAATTTCACCTCACAATTTGTGATTTACTATTATTATAACATTACCAGTATGTTCTAAATGTTAACCTTCTAAAATTCAGTACATATTTAAATCAAGTTTCAACTCATACAAATGCAGTACAGTATAAATTATATAAATTATAATAATGATATATATCTATATATATATAATTTATATTATTAAATAAGTTGCTTATTTAATTAATCAGTAAACACAAGTCACGACTATGGTAAATCTATTTTTAGAATAAACATTATCTGTATTCTGTATAGTTACTGAACAGCGCAATAGTCTATTTATAGCTACCGCCTAATGTTTACGTTGGTGACTCCTTAGCAAACAGTGCTTCCGTGTAAATATTTCGGTTCTTATTATTAAATTCAAATGCTTATATCAACTTTTTCATGTAAAACAGGTCAAGTTTAACACTGGTACACCTCCAATAAAAATATATATCATGGTCTTTAAGGTAGAATAAACAGATTAAGATTTTTGGTTAACAATTCAAACATAACAGAATGCAGTGTATTTATTTATAACTGGGTTACTTTGGTTTATTTTTTTCTATAACCGCAAGGAAAATTATTTATAGTGCTTAGTCAGGACTTGAATAAAAAAAGTTCAAGGAAGACAGAAACCCAGTTAAACGAAATAACTGAGATTGAGATTAAAGAAACTAAATGTCTATTCACACCTGTCTCATTTCTTCCATTTAATCATTACTGAAATATTATCAAGAAATTGAAACACTTGCATTTATTGCTGAGTAAGGACAAAATTAGAAAGGCAGTTGTTTGGTAGGAAAGATTGTTGTTTAGTGCTGAGACACTTCAAAGGCTGCTGTTTAGTGCTGAGAAAAGCTGATCTAATATGCATTACAATAGACTTATCATTATGACAAAGATCTAGATCTATCAAAGTAGAATTATTAAATTATGACCAACAGCTTTGAATTAGAGCCTTTTTTTATTAACCTATAAATTTATGCCATTTTACTCCCTAGAAACTTCCACGAGAGACAAATTAATCTGTCACATGTAAAAAATGGAATAAAGAAATGTTTCTTTGGTGGAGGGGATTTTTTTTTCAGAAGTGAGGGTGAGATGCGCAGGCTGGTCTGGATCCATGCTGGTCATAAACCCATTATGTTGGATCTGTCATGGCACGGCTCATAGTCATAAGATTCCTTCCCAAAATAAAAAAAAAAACAAAAGGCCCAAAATAAAGGAAGTATGAAAAGAAAATGTTAGAAATTATTATCAGAATAAGTTTAAATTAATATCTTTTTCATTTTTAATAACATAATTCAGGAAATGAATATTTTAAGACATCAAATGCTTCAGATATATTTCATGTAAATGTAAAAAAAAGCTCTTACTTTTGAAACTAGTTTTTGAAATGACAAGATTCAAATTTTACATGTTAATTAAGCCTTTTCATTAAATTTTGAAGGCTAATTTCTTTGTTAGTATTTTCTTTATATATATAAGAAGGCTATTGTCCCAGTTCTTGTTCATAGTTTAATATAAATGTTACACAATTCTGACTTCTGTGTCCTTATGAATTTTAAACAAATATTACAACTTTAGTTATTGAAAATGAATTATAAATTAAAGAACTTTCCTGTAAATAACTGAAAATCAAAACAGCTAACTTTACTAATAATTGTAGTACCACATGTAACTAAGTTTGTTTTTTCGGGGTTTTCTGTTTTCATGTTGCCATTAGCATTAAGATTTAGGAACTTAAAAACTTTTTTTAACTTTTCAATCTTTTAGTTACTTAAGAACAATCTCTGGCCGCTGATCTTGGTCACAGTTGACAGGCTTAAAGTTATAGTTTAATACTGAGGAATGGTCAACAAGGGGAAAAGCAGACAAGCAATTAATTTATAAATGAATCCAATGAATGTGAACAATTTATGTATACAGTACTGTACTTACTATTATTTTGATTTAACTTTATTTTGCCAAACAGTAGTAACTGTTAGAAACATTGAATTTAACAGAATAAATGGGATTAATGAATTTGGTCCAATTTAAAATTCACCAATTAGGCCCTAAAAGTATTTAGTACATAATCAATTGTTTCTGACTCACTCAGAGTCAGCTAAAAGATATTTAACCCAAAATTTAAGGTAGGGCCAAAATTAATAACTTTATTAGTTTATATATAAACATCAATAAGTATTATTATTTAATAATGTTTACAGGTTTTATAATTTACATGATACTTTAATTCTTCATTTCTTTTAACATTTCATATTCTTTTACTGAGTATTATACAGTTTCATACACTTGATCCTTTTTCCCATGGGCGCATTGTCTATTCAAATCGACGTAAAATAAATTGGCAATCAACAGGTCACGTGCTTCAACAAAATATTTAGTAGATAAACACGAAATACACGAAACTTTTACGTCTTTCTTATATAAACTTTGTAAAGATTATATAAAGTTTTGACAGTGTATGATTTTAACAATATCAACAATTTTCATCAAAATATTAACGTTTAGAAACACAAATAAACGAAGAAAAAGTTAAAAACTAAATGTAAACAAAGAGACGTACTCCACGCCGCTCTTTTCTAAATTTAGTACACAATGAAACTGACCCAAATATTGTATTCATAAACATACCTTTTTACTCATTTTTGTATATCCAAAATCACTGAAAGAATCCAATATATTTGTTCTGTAACTCTACCAACTATATTATGTCTTTAACCCTCTGAAATTCAGTTTATAACCACCAGTTGAATGTGTAGAAAACTGCTTATTACGTAGTTTGTCGTGTGCTTGTACACTATACCGACCGTTGCTTGATTTGCGCCACAGAGCACTATGTATTGACGCAGTAAAACTTGATGAGTCAGCTGTACTGAGTGGCAGTCGATATTTCAATCCAATACCTTTATGAATCAAAATATTTAAGTTTAATAGTTACCACACATATATACAATTCCTTAGATACGACTTCAATAAAGATTGTCAGGTACACTATATCTACTTAGGAAAGAAACATTTGTTTCATTTTGACAAATATCGTTGTGTATTCAGTTTTAATATCTGTGTACTTCGTCTCGCGCGCAACAGGTTTAGCCAATCAGAAACGGCTTTACATATTGTAGAACCGCCCAATATTGCATCAACAAACAATGAAATACTGCGTCGTAGTAAATTTACTTTCCCACGTAGTATCCAACAGAGGGCGTGAGAGTATATAGATTCGCGCCAGAAGGCTACGGCGTAGCTAATTGTAAATGTTACAGAGCAAAAAATATATTCAGATAATAAATAAAACAAAACAGCATTTATAGAATTCCACATCTGTGTTAGATTGAAATGATAACGGTACAATTTCGGATTATTCGGAAATGAAAATTTTCTTTTACTTTCTGTGATTTGATTTTTTGCGACTTTAATCTACTGTACTGTAGATCTACTTCGTCCTGTAAGTACTAGATCGTCTTACTGCACACATATTGTTGTAAATATTGTTGCACATCTAACACCAAGAAGACCATAAAATATACAGTATATAGATATAATCTAGTTCAGACGGCTAAGTTCGAATCCTGAACAACGTCAGTACTGTAGAGTCTATGCCTGTGGTCACCCATCTTTCAAGTTAATTAGTCCGGCATACATTCGCATTTACATATAATATATACAGAGATTTACTTTTTGTTAGCATGTCTGTCTGTAAATGGGAAATGAACTCCGGCAGCATCTGTATTAAGGCAACTTTTGAAACTGTTTATATAACACAAACATAGATCCTAGTCCTAATGCAATGCCAATAAAGCGAACTCATTATGTCAGTCATTACGCTATGTCCTCATTAAGTTGTTGTTTTTGTTGTTGTTTGTTTTTTTTTGGCCAAAGGAATGAAAATAAATTTAATTCATGATAATATTATCATTATTTTATTTTCGGTATAAGTACGCATATGCACGGAATGAAAAGTTATAATGACAGCTTTTGTAAGGTTCTTGGTTTAAAGGCTCATTATATGATTATAATTTTATTTCTGTAAAGCCTTTTTATATTTGTTGTGTCATTATTATATAGTGTCTAAAACTACTGAACCAGAGATGTATGTAACAATGTCTCTGACTCTTTTAGACAATTAGTACAACTATATTAGTATTTTGTATGGAAGCCAAAATACTATTTTTATTTATATTTTGCTACTTTTTTGACAAATAATTTCGCTTAAAGAGCCAATCGCAACTTTTCGGTCCTTTCATTAGAAAATAGCCAAGATGTTCCGATTGGTTTATGGGCAAGTTTGCACGTGCTCTATACTGACTTCAATGGTGATTACTGCAATGCACTACTGCATGGAGTACCTCATTTGAACTGCAAGTCGTTCAAAAGTACAGTTGCCCGCATCGTTTTAAATTCAGCCTACTAGATTTATACCATATGTCTAAACTTTGTTTTTATTTTGAGTACGTTGCACATTTATTGTTACAAAGTTGTCTTTTATATTTTAATGGTACTGTCAATTGCTATTTAGTTATCAGTTTATATCACTGTAAAGCGCATTTGAACGTGTATATGAAAATGACGCTCTATATAAGTTTGGTACATAATAATAATAATAATAATAATAATAATAATAATAATAATAATAATAATAATAATAATAATAATAATGTTAATAACAATAATAATAATAATAATAATGATGATGATGATGATTATGATGGCGATGATGACGATGATGACGACGATGACGATGAGGAGGAAATCTCAAGATTTTTTTTTTACATATATTTTGATATTGAATTCTCTTAACTTAAAATGGACTGCAGGACAAATTATTACACAAATTCGGCTGGTTACAAGAGTTAAGAAATATACGAGTGGTTTCAGGCCCCTCTTTCCTACTATTACGTTAGGTCACAAAACATGTATTGTTTAACCTAAGCCATACTGTTTAATTATTTTATGTTTTTTTGCAGCTGAATCAGTATCAATGATGTAAGATATCTTCCAAGGCTCAACCCGGGGATCGTGGCTTCCAGTCTACATCGGTTACAATTGCGACTCTACCTGCTTATAGTTTGCCCAGTAGATCATTAAAGGAATTCAATATCAAAGTACAATCAAAGCACAGAAGGCGCTGAATTTGTTTGGGTCTCAGAATGTCAGAAAGGTGAAGGTTGTGAGATTGTAAAACAATTTGTTTTTGTATAGTGCCACCAATGCTTTCCAGCGTTTTAATAGTAGTAGATTGGCTATAAGACTATATATTTTATAATTGCAACACTTATATTCAATCCAATGTTTATTTGACTTAAACAATTTGAAAAAAAAATGAGTTGCCTTAACTGGGATTTGAACTCGAGACCTCTCGCTTCCTAAGTGAATGCGCAAACCCCTCGGCCACGGCGAATTTATATGTAAACGGCCTGAAGAAAACCATATTATTCTAAATTATGGTTTGTAACGACGCTAACTTGTGTAAATAATCATGGCGCTTACTATAAGCATGTATATCTTTAAAGAATAAAACAATATTAGAAATCTTCGACCATTCGGGAATTATTTTGCTTGAAAATTAATGCGCCTGTCATGTGACCATATTTACGCAGTGATCTCCCCTGAATTTTTCGGCCTTTGTGTTACATATAAAGGGAAGTAACCGCTTCAAAAAAGCGGACTACTTTCGGCATTTGCAATTAACAGCATTAGAGTCTGAAATTTCGCTACCATTATTTGTTTGTTCTGACAACCCAAACCAACAAAAATAGCTACCAGCAGGGATAGCAAACCTGCAGATAAAACCTTGGTTAAGGTTTACAGATAAAACCTTCGGAAATACCTACAGATAAAACCTTGGTTAAGGTTTACAGATAAAACCTTCGGAAATACTTCCAGATAAAACATTGGTTAAGGTTTACAGATAAAACCTTCGGAAATACTTCCAGATAAAACCTTGGTTAAGGTTTACACATAAAACCTTCGGAAATACTTACAGATAAAACCTTCAGAAATACTTACAGATAAAACCTTCGTCAATGTTTACAGATAAAACTTTTGTCAAATGTTTACAGATAAACCTTGATTAAGTTTTGCAATAAAACATTGGTCAAGTTTTGCAGATGAAACCTTGATTAAGATTTTGGTAAAGTTTAATCAAGGTCCAATCCACCAGGGAGCTTCAAATATGAATGCATGCAGAATATATATTGCGGAAAAACCCACAAACAACAACAACAAAAAACAGAAAAAAGAAACATGATGATGCCACATTAATTAAAATCCGATCAGTTTAACTACGGTGGCATAGAAGGAACATCAGAAATATTTTATCGATCAAGTGCGCACGCGATAGCTACTACGTCCGCACACGATAGCTACAACGTGTGCACGCGATAGCTACTACATGCGCACGCGATAGCCCCTATGTTGGTGAATCATTACGTGCGAGCGTAGTAGCTATCGCGCACGCAAGTAATAGCTTGTACGTGCGCATGTAGCAGCTATCGCGTACGCACGTGTTAGCTATCGAATGCGTACGTAGTAGCTATCGCGTGCGCGCGTAGTAGATAAAATATTTCTGATGGCCCCTTTATGCCATCGTTGTTTAGCAGTGTTTAAAGTTCGCAGTACATTGTCTAATACTGGTATACTGACTGGAATACAAAAATGTTATTGACTTGGCATAGGTAAAATGAAATTTCCTTTTCTTCAGTTATTCTCTGTATTCGTCGGCTTGATAAATTCAAATGTGGGTTAATTTCGACTGAAGATGCACTCCATGCCCGTTGGCCTAAAACAGTAATGTCTGTCATAATGGTTGCTAAAGTGATAGAAATAGTTAATTATAAGTAGAAATAGTTAATTATAAGTCTTTAGATACAAAAAAAAATGGGCAAAAACCTAATGGCGTTGGTATCTCATTAAGGGCAGTTAATACCATTCACTTGAAAATGAGAGATGGATTACCCATTTGCTGACATATGAGCAATAAAAGACTCGAGTGCAATACACTCAGTTGTTCAATAAACAGTATCCAAATTACCATGCACGGTCTTGGCATTGTCGTCAGTGGTGACTAAACATGGGCTGATTTTTATGGGCTAAAACGGAAACACTTAAACAAGATTTGGGCTACAAAACTCTGGAAACAGGCCATGGATTGCAACAAGGGTCATTTACTTTACAACTCAGGGTCCCGCCTTTCAGGTTGCTGTTCCTAGAGGCAAATCTGTTAATGCGAAATTTTAGAAGGAAAACTAAACAAATGCTTTCAAACACAGGTTATCGGCGTGGGACCAAGCCCTACCCCAAGGTACCATCCCCAAGGACCCACTTTACTACCCAAATATACAAATATACTACAAAATCAAACAATTCTATCAAAAATATAATACTGATACTATATACATAGTTTATAGTATCAGTATTATATTTTTTGATAGAATTGTTTGATTTTGTATTGACATGTATTTTGAATGTGTTGAAGTATATTTGGGTAGTATAGTGGGTCCTGGGGGGTGGTACCTTGGGGGTAGGGCTTGGTCTCACGCCGATAACCTGTGCTTTCAAAAACCAAGATACGCGATAGGTTTGACCAATGTCATGAAGGTGCATGACAACGCGTCATCGCAAGCAGAAAAACGTCATGGTACTGCGTACTCACCTGATCTTGGCGAGCTAAAAAATGCCTTTCAGGCCGAAAAGTTGTTTAGTACGGAATGCCGTTAGGGCCATCGCATATGAATGTGTTGATCGGAAACGCGATAGTCGATAGTACGATGGTGAAAACGCGAAATCACGAAACTACGATGGTGAAAAGGCGAAATTACGATGATGAAAACGCGATAGTACGATGATGAAAACGCGACAGTACGATACTACGATGATGAAAACGCGATAAACTATCGTGTTTTCACCATCGTACTGTCGCGTTTTCACCATCGTAGTTTCGTGATTTCGCGTTTTCATCATCGTACTGTCGAGTATCACGTTTCAGATAAAACAATTCAAAGGCGATGACCCTAACGGCATTCCGGAATGCCGTTAGGGCCATCGCCTATGAATGTGTTGACCTGAAACGCGATAGTCGATAG